ATGGGTGGTGACAAATTTGAAAAATAAATAAATAAATAAATAAATAAATAAATAAATAAATCTCAAGATTTTGCAGGAGAACATTGAAATATGGCATGTTGGTGTTCCCACTGATACTCTGTAAGATCTTCTGAAGCCTCTGAAATCCCATGAGGCTTATAGTCGCACAGGAGTTTGGTGGCCTTATCTTTTAATATTATAATTTTAATTTAAGTTTGGGTAAAATGCCAGTGTTCTAACATATTATTTTCAGTTTGGGGGAAATATTTATTTATTTATTTATGTTTTTACTTCAGTTTAACCTGGAGAGTATAGGTACCATTTGTAGTACCAGCAGAATTTTGGTGCTCTTGGGTACAGGCTTCCCAACCACAGAAAAATTGTTATGGTCAGGTGAATAAGCCTTAATATTTGAAATGGTATTATATGTGTAGCATTACTATTGAATTAATTTAGGATGGGACTAAGACAAAATGTATTTCTGATGCATTAGAATACCCCTGTTTACCATCTTCTGAACCATGCTGTTGACTTTCTCATGTTTTGTCACTTAAATGGTCTGTACTCCAGGGCATAACAATTATTTAAAAAATAGGAGATAGCCAGAGAAACAGTTTTGTTTCCATGCAGAACTAGGCTCCCAAATTGAAATGAAAGGCATGCATACTGAAAAAGATTAAGCAGATTTAAAAAGTAGAAGACTGTGCAAAGAAGTTGCTGAGGCATGCCAAATTGTGGGGAAAAAGGTAAGATAATTGCCATGCATGTGGCAATCCATTGTGAAAGGATGGAATATGAACATAGCGTAGGTATGGATGTATTCTTATGTGTGAATATGTACATGGCAGGGAAGAGATAAGATTTTGACATCAATAAACACTGGCCTAAAATGATTAGGGTGTAGGAACAGATATGTTTTTTAATATGGAATTAGGCATCTCAGTAATGTGTGGCAGTTAAAACCAGTCACAGAAATCCAGTAGTAATCATTAATAAAATGTTGCAGGACAGGGCTGAAATACTTGCAACTGATCTTTTCAGTTTGAGGGAGGTGGTTCCATTTTGCATAACTTTGGATCTTGCCTGCCTTTCTAGTTTATATCTTTCATGCAGTTTTATTTAAAAACATCAGTTATCTTCTGTAAAATTCACAGTATTATTTTGATTTACTTCAGGAAGTGTAAAGGTCTGTTTTTGCTACATGATTAAAGACATTTCACTAATACTGCAGTATCTAGTTGGGCCTGACAGCAAAAGAATATAAGAAAGCTTT